GTCCTCCCATGCTTTTTCAACCACCCCTCTGTCTCTCTTTTTCCTTCCCACTCCCTCATGCTTCAAATCTGAGTTTTTGGGGTTAGGAGATCATCATGGGGTGGCAAAAATGTCAGGGCATGGTTTAGAGGACAAAAGGTGGGCCCCCGTGGTTAGTGAAATCATGGGAAGAAGTGTCTGGCATTTCTGGGCATCTTCTACCAGTAGGTCATGGGTAACCTGCATGTAGGTTTTTTCCTATAAACTTTTCTACTGGTAAGTGCTTGCATGGTAGAGGTAGAAGATTTCTAGTGGCCTTTTCTACCGATAGGTTTTGAATAACTTCTACCAGTAGGTCTTGAATAAACTTCTACCAGTAGATGTTGTCCTGTCTTGGAATTTTCTTGGTTCCTTGAGGTCTAGAGCCCTCTTTCAAGAGGTCTCTTCTTTCCCATTGACCTTGAGCACTTGATGGGGTGCTTTATGTATGCCCTTACCAGCCCATTACCTACAATCAAACAACTCTTCATTAATTATCAATTTGACACAATTTCCACAACAAAAAATAAGTTAAAATGGGTGTAATAGAGGTGCATATTATGCACTATTCTACACTCATCACACCTCTAACTTGAGTTCCCTAGCAAACCTTTTTTTCAACTATATATATACAACAATTTCATTCATGGTAAAAAATTCAAAGATCAACAAAATACTCAAATCATAAAGCAATTACGTAAATGAACATGGAGCAAAATGAAATAAAAAGCATGGTTCTTTCATTCATAAATGTATGAGATTCAGTACAAAGAACTCAAGATAAAATGGACTGTCATCCTCTGGTCTCTTATATTAGGATGACTACAACTAGATCACCATCCTTCACTATATACAAAAGACAAAAAAGCTTGCACTCTCTCTAATCGTCCTCCTCGTCCTCGGACTCAGCATTCTAACCCTCATTGTCAGACTCATAATCATCCCCCTTGGACTCACCTACCTCTACAACAGTCGAGCCAGTGGGGTAGTCGCTCGGAGGCCAACCCCAATCCCCGGAACTAATGATGGGAACTCTGGTGTGGTAGGCAGTGGTGGTACGATGGGGAGAGGCTCTCCTGGGAACGTCATCTCAAAGATCCTAGTGACCATCAGCTTCAACAGCTTCATAGTCCCCCCCCCCCAAAGTCATCCATCCTCCCCTCAATAGCATCAAGGCGCTAAGGGACTATCTGAAGCGAGACAGTAGTGGATGGCTCGGTTATGGGTGGTCTAGTTGTATATGGCTCAGCCTTAGACGACCTACCCCGTTTTTCTCTCTGTACATACCTTTCTGTCATAGCCATCCTCTTCATGCTACTCTACATGCCTATGGGGCCGAACTCCGATGGAAGTGTCACATAAGTGGGGCTTCCCTTAACCTTGTTGTGGTAGCAAATTTTTGTGACAAGTTGGGCATAAGGAAGAAGGTTTGCCTTTAGCTTCGAAGCCTGGGCATAGTCCTTCATCACCTCCTAAATCATGAAAGCAATGTACATATGGGTGTCGGCCAAGAAAAAATATAGGGCCAATTTTCTCCTCCCCTGGTGTCTTCTCAGCACCCCGATGTAAAAGGCTGTAATGGAGAATTTTATTCATTACCCCATACGAGTGCTTGGGTGGCCCAACTTGAATTTTCCCATTAAACTATGTCATGTCCTCATAAATTAGACTCGCATACTCCTAGNGTAGAATTAACCAATTATCTTGATTATATCTGGGGAAGGCCAAACAAGTTCATTAAGTAGGGTGATTTGAGTGATAACTACTGAATTATGAATTTGATTGTGGTAAATAATTTGATGCCTCAATCTCAAAAGAACCAAGTGTTTACTAAGAAATCACGATTCTTATAATCTTTTGGTGTGGCCCATACCATAGATCTACCTATATTAATTTTTTCAGCAAATAGTATTGGCAGCGGATGGAAAGAAACCCTCGCTAACTTTAAGGATTTTGGTTACTAATCTAAGTTAGAGCAAGGGTGTGACTGTAGATCCTACATGGAGTACTATGCTTGATGGTTTTCCCTAACTTCCAACTTGCACCCGAATTATGTGTATATATGGCTTATAGAGGTTGGTTAGTGTCGCTCTCCCTCAAGTTCAATGCGAGAAGGGGAAAATCGTGTGTGGATGAACAAAAACGTATGTGTGTGCAATGCCGTGTTTTACTTGGGATGAGTATTCCAAGGTCGTCTCCTCAGGGAAGTCAAGGTCGAATGTTTTTGAAGGTTCATTTGTGAAAAAGTGAAAATTGGGAAATCTCGTGATTTGAAGTTTGATGAGTTTTGAGTTAAGAAATTTGCAAGAAAGCAAGGTGGTCTAATCCATAGAAGTCATTCCAATGGGAATGCCAAATCGACTCTTGTCATTCAATTGATGGTGTGTCAGTGTTTGATTGATTAGAAGGAAGTGAGAGACTAATATAGTTGTGTTGGGCAAAAGCATATCCTGTGACAAGTCCATGGTGTATCAAAAGCTCACAGCTATGTCCACACTCAACCTAGTCAAACTAAACACTTTACACTATGAGGAAAAATGCAAGAGAGTCGATTTTACATACCCAAGAGGAAATCCCTCTTGGATTAGCCAACTAAAAGTTTAGCTATGCATGATAAAAGCAAGAACAAACCTGAAAAAGAAAGACATTGTGTTGACATCAAACATAGACTTGTACAAACATAGAAGAAAGTTTAAATAACAAAAGAAATGACATTCACACTCAAAATGAAAAGTTTGTAGAGAAAATACCCAAATGTAGAAATGAAATACAATGATACTTAGCTAAACTTAATTACAACTTGAATAAAATAGATTAGAGTGAAAAAGGGAAAGATTACAAGTTAAATGGAGCTTAGTATAATGGAAATGGTGAAGAAAAATGTAAAAACCCAACTTCTCTATCTAAAACTTTGTCTTCTACCTTGGGGCTTCTCTTTCTAAAAGTCTTGTAATCTGAAATTTTCTGTAAGAAGCTTGCAATTTTCATCCATCCTCTCTCCCATAGCTTGAGTGACTGACTTGGGGTGATTGGAGAGTGGTTGTCCACTCCAAGAAGCAAATTCAGTCAAAGCATGGTCCTCCCATGCTTTTTCAACCACCCCTCTGTCTCTCTTTTTCCTTCCCACTCCCTCATGCTTCAAATCTGAGTTTTTGGGGTTAGGAGATCATCATGGGGTGGCAAAAATGTCAGGGCATGGTTTAGAGGACAAAAGGTGGGCCCCCGTGGTTAGTGAAATCATGGGAAGAAGTGTCTGGCATTTCTGGGCATCTTCTACCAGTAGGTCATGGGTAACCTGCATGTAGGTTTTTTCCTATAAACTTTTCTACTGGTAAGTGCTTGCATGGTAGAGGTAGAAGATTTCTAGTGGCCTTTTCTACCGATAGGTTTTGAATAACTTCTACCAGTAGGTCTTGAATAAACTTCTACCAGTAGATGTTGTCCTGTCTTGGAATTTTCTTGGTTCCTTGAGGTCTAGAGCCCTCTTTCAAGAGGTCTCTTCTTTCCCATTGACCTTGAGCACTTGATGGGGTGCTTTATGTATGCCCTTACCAGCCCATTACCTACAATCAAACAACTCTTCATTAATTATCAATTTGACACAATTTCCACAACAAAAAATAAGTTAAAATGGGTGTAATAGAGGTGCATATTATGCACTATTCTACACTCATCACACCTCTAACTTGAGTTCCCTAGCAAACCTTTTTTTCAACTATATATATACAACAATTTCATTCATGGTAAAAAATTCAAAGATCAACAAAATACTCAAATCATAAAGCAATTACGTAAATGAACATGGAGCAAAATGAAATAAAAAGCATGGTTCTTTCATTCATAAATGTATGAGATTCAGTACAAAGAACTCAAGATAAAATGGACTGTCATCCTCTGGTCTCTTATATTAGGATGACTACAACTAGATCACCATCCTTCACTATATACAAAAGACAAAAAAGCTTGCACTCTCTCTAATCGTCCTCCTCGTCCTCGGACTCAGCATTCTAACCCTCATTGTCAGACTCATAATCATCCCCCTTGGACTCACCTACCTCTACAACAGTCGAGCCAGTGGGGTAGTCGCTCGGAGGCCAACCCCAATCCCCGGAACTAATGATGGGAACTCTGGTGTGGTAGGCAGTGGTGGTACGATGGGGAGAGGCTCTCCTGGGAACGTCATCTCAAAGATCCTAGTGACCATCAGCTTCAACAGCTTCATAGTCCCCCCCCCCCAAAGTCATCCATCCTCCCCTCAATAGCATCAAGGCGCTAAGGGACTATCTGAAGCGAGACAGTAGTGGATGGCTCGGTTATGGGTGGTCTAGTTGTATATGGCTCAGCCTTAGACGACCCACCCCTTTTTTCTCTCTGTACATACCTTTCTGTCATAGCCATCCTCTTCATGCTACTCTACATGCCTATGGGGCCGAACTCCGATGGAAGTGTCACATAAGTGGGGCTTCCCTTAACCTTGTTGTGGTAGCAAATTTTTGTGACAAGTTGGGCATAAGGAAGAAGGTTTGCCTTTAGCTTCGAAGCCTGGGCATAGTCCTTCATCACCTCCTAAATCATGAAAGCAATGTACATATGGGTGTCGGCCAAGAAAAAATATAGGGCCAATTTTCTCCTCCCCTGGTGTCTTCTCAGCACCCCGATGTAAAAGGCTGTAATGGAGAATTTTATTCATTACCCCATACGAGTGCTTGGGTGGCCCAACTTGAATTTTCCCATTAAACTATGTCATGTCCTCATAAATTAGACTCGCATACTCCTAGAGTGATTTTCTCCCAGAGGTGTTGTAAGGATAAATCGGGGAGTTGGTAGCAGGCCTCTGATACTATTATGCCTTCATAATGACTGTTTGGGTGACCTTAATCACCTTCCCCCCTCGCATTTGTCTTCAACAAAAACAAATCCTCATCCACCACCCGTAACTTCTGATAAAAATCTTGACAAATGGGAAGCACATACCCCCTCTACTATTTGGAACCAAAGTCAATGTCATGGCCCTCGATTACTCGGACCACGTCATTGAGTGGCTCGAGGGTGGGCCGATCAACTTGCTGCATGCATGTCACATTCTTGGTCTTAATACTCTTCGTGTGAGGGTCATTTTTCTTTTTCTTCCTTTGTTCACCACCACTGAGGCCTGCCTCTTCAACCCTCTTGCGGGACCCAGTTCCTACGGGAACTGGTGACCCAGGGGCCGTTTGCTTAGTGCGGGCCATCACAATCCAAAATGACCCTAGGGCGAATAATGGCAATAACCAACTCCACAAAAACTAAAAAATGTCAAAAGATGGAGGTGAAGACTTACCCACTCTAGCCATTGTTCCAAATTCCAAGTTTCAATTGAAAATCATGGCTTTTGATGGATTGGTGATGCTTTATGGAGAAAAAAAAGGGGTTTTGGAGGAACAGAGGCCAAGGAAATGAAAAAGAATCACGGTGAATCACAAACTTAAGAGAGAAATTTGATAGATTTGGAGGATGCCCAAGGCATCTTTCATTTTTTGAAAGGTTTTGAGAGAGGATAAAATGTTTTTTAGAGTGAGATGTATGAGCGAGATGAAGGGTTTCACCAAAAATTTGGGTTTAAAACCCTCTTTTTTTGGTATTCTGGGCAAAACCTATCGATAGATCTCCAGTCTCCTACCGGTAGAAAACCCTTCTGGAAAATTCTACCAGTAGGTCTTGCAATATGCAACTGATAGGTTTCAACTTTCTTGCAAAAATTCCCTATGTTCTCATCCTCACTCCCACTCCAAGTTTATTCAACTCCGAAGCATTCTAGTGACCTATTTCCTAACTCAACTATACGAAAACATGATCCATGCTAGTGAACCATGATGTATGACTATGCTCAAATTCATTTACGAAATTGAAATGCGATTTGATCCTTGATGCTTCCAAAACCATGACATGGAACTCTAAATTCAACAAAATAAACACCCAATATATAAAGCCCAAGCTACAAAATAAAAATGGGTATTCCTCTTTCTATCTAAAATCTAAAATTTGAGCAATATTCCCTTATCCTATATGCTTTGGGTCGCTTGACACAACTTTTCAAACACCCGAACCAAACACATAGGAGTTTAATCATAGCTTTAAATATTATTCTAAATTATACACCTATGCATTTCCTTTCAAGACTCGTGTGTGTGTGTGAAATGAATATGCAATTTAAAATTTTAATCAATGCAATCCACATTCATTTAGCAATCCAAATTCAGCTTTGATACAATTCTCACCAAGGGTTTCTCTTAAAAATGAATAACTCTATGATTATCCTGGCATGCTCTCCATGTGTATATGTGAGATAGAATCTTGTGCACAAACTAAAATTCTCATAGATAATCCAAAAATGATGATCATGCATAACAATTGAAATGACCTTGGCATAATCTCATGAATGGAATGTTAGGGCACTAGATAGAAAAACCAACTTTTCATTTCATTTAAAGTGTGTTCTCACCATGCTTTCTCTAGATCATTTAGGCCTTGGGGTGTTATTTGGGTTGAGTGAAATGAATGGTAGAGGGAGATAAAAAAGGTTATTCACAGGACATGACCTTTATTATCAAAACTCTCATTTTTGTGGGATTTTCAGTTTTACACCTTCAATTCACTTATGTCACCTTTTTTTTTCTTAGCTCAACATTTTTCTTCTCTTTTTCTTTTCCTTTCATTTATTTCCTTTTCAACCCCCTTTTTCTCCTTTTTTCTTGGATTTTCTCTTCTTTTTCATTCAAAATTTGAATTCAAAAACATTCATCCCTTTTTTGATTTCCTCACCACATTTCCCTTCCATCATGAGTAAAAATAGTCAGTCCCAGAAAAATCAAGGTGTGCATGTAAAACTCAGGAAAAATTTAAACTTTTTTGAAAAAAGGGCAAAATGGTAATTTGCTACCATAATGCGGGTTTAAAATTCATATTTTTCTAGAGCTCAGATGACACAACAGACCTCACCGTTGGATTCGTATCAAAAAATTGAGCTGCCCTGTCAATATTTGTAAAATTCTGAGATAGTCAGATTCTACACGTTTTATGACACAATTGGGTGACGAATGCCCTTTCTAAGGTCCCCAAAAATGAAATCTATAAAAAAATTTTATAATTGAATGCAATATAAAATAAAATTAATTAAACTTAAATCGGGATTAAATGAATCATTTCGGTACAAAAAACGGACCCGGAAGTAAGAAATATGCGGTGCGACATGGACCGCACATTTGAAACTATAAATATCAACTAATCTGATTTTTTGGAGAAATATTTCTGCTGAAACTACTGGGTTTGCTGGTCTAAACGTTGGAAAGAAAATAAAAATAGAAAAAAGTGAGGTTTCAAAGTTTCTCCCTTCGATTCACGGACTTCTGTCGGTCGGAATCCTTCAGACCAAGAGTTAAAGTCAATCTCCTCAATGAGGGCAATACGCCTACATACCAAAATGAGCTGATTTCACTGAAGATCCAAAGACAGAATTTTGGAGAAATCAAAACTTTGGGCTTGAATCGTGTTCTTGAAGCTTCCTACAGTTGTTTTACGCTTCAAAATGTAGGGTTCCCTCCTACGTTGGTTTATTTCCATCCTATGGTGTCCACAGGAAATGGGTGGGCTGTTTTGAGTGTTTTTAACACTTTCCTAATATAGTTGGTTTAATGGAAATGAATAAACTCAATTCTAGTGTGAATTGGTAGTTAGAAATTGCTTGTTTCTGATTTCTTGGAAGTTTTGATAATTGAGTATGTGGAAATCATTCAATCTGATTTTTTTTTGAGTCAGGTGACAAATTTGAGCATTTTATGTGATTACATGATTTGGTGCCTTGAAGGTGTTTGATATAATGCCTCTGTGAAATAAAGTGTTATATTGACATAGACTATGTAATAACATGCATATGTTAGGTTGTTAAGTATAAAATGTTGATATATGTTCATTGATATATTGTCATTGTGTTGGNATAGTGATTTTCTCCCAGAGGTGTTGTAAGGATAAATCGGGGAGTTGGTAGCAGGCCTCTGATACTATTATGCCTTAATAATGACTGTTTGGGTGACCTTAATCACCTTCCCCCCTCGCATTTGTCTTCAACANAGAGTGATTTTCTCCCAGAGGTGTTGTAAGGATAAATCGGGGAGTTGGTAGCAGGCCTCTGATACTATTATGCCTTCATAATGACTGTTTGGGTGACCTTAATCACCTTCCCCCCTCGCATTTGTCTTCAACAAAAACAAATCCTCATCCACCACCCGTAACTTCTGATAAAAATCTTGACAAATGGGAAGCACATACCCCCTCTACTATTTGGAACCAAAGTCAATGTCATGGCCCTCGATTACTCGGACCACGTCATTGAGTGGCTCGAGGGTGGGCTGATCAACTTGCTGCATGCATGTCACATTCTTGGTCTTAATACTCTTCGTGTGAGGGTCATTTTTCTTTTTCTTCCTTTGTTCACCACCACTGAGGCCTGCCTCTTCAACCCTCTTGCGGGACCCAGTTCCTACGGGAACTGGTGACCCAGGGGCCGTTTGCTTAGTGCGGGCCATCACAATCCAAAATGACCCTAGGGCGAATAATGGCAATAACCAACTCCACAAAAACTAAAAAATGTCAAAAGATGGAGGTGAAGACTTACCCACTCTAGCCATTGTTCCAAATTCCAAGTTTCAATTGAAAATCATGGCTTTTGATGGATTGGTGATGCTTTATGGAGAAAAAAAAGGGGTTTTGGAGGAACAGAGGCCAAGGAAATGAAAAAGAATCACGGTGAATCACAAACTTAAGAGAGAAATTTGATAGATTTGGAGGATGCCCAAGGCATCTTTCATTTTTTGAAAGGTTTTGAGAGAGGATAAAATGTTTTTTAGAGTGAGATGTATGAGCGAGATGAAGGGTTTCACCAAAAATTTGGGTTTAAAACCCTCTTTTTTTGGTATTCTGGGCAAAACCTATCGATAGATCTCCAGTCTCCTACCGGTAGAAAACCCTTCTGGAAAATTCTACCAGTAGGTCTTGCAATATGCAACTGATAGGTTTCAACTTTCTTGCAAAAATTCCCTATGTTCTCATCCTCACTCCCACTCCAAGTTTATTCAACTCCGAAGCATTCTAGTGACCTATTTCCTAACTCAACTATACGAAAACATGATCCATGCTAGTGAACCATGATGTATGACTATGCTCAAATTCATTTACGAAATTGAAATGCGATTTGATCCTTGATGCTTCCAAAACCATGACATGGAACTCTAAATTCAACAAAATAAACACCCAATATATAAAGCCCAAGCTACAAAATAAAAATGGGTATTCCTCTTTCTATCTAAAATCTAAAATTTGAGCAATATTCCCTTATCCTATATGCTTTGGGTCGCTTGACACAACTTTTCAAACACCCGAACCAAACACATAGGAGTTTAATCATAGCTTTAAATATTATTCTAAATTATACACCTATGCATTTCCTTTCAAGACTCGTGTGTGTGTGTGAAATGAATATGCAATTTAAAATTTTAATCAATGCAATCCACATTCATTTAGCAATCCAAATTCAGCTTTGATACAATTCTCACCAAGGGTTTCTCTTAAAAATGAATAACTCTATGATTATCCTGGCATGCTCTCCATGTGTATATGTGAGATAGAATCTTGTGCACAAACTAAAATTCTCATAGATAATCCAAAAATGATGATCATGCATAACAATTGAAATGACCTTGGCATAATCTCATGAATGGAATGTTAGGGCACTAGATAGAAAAACCAACTTTTCATTTCATTTAAAGTGTGTTCTCACCATGCTTTCTCTAGATCATTTAGGCCTTGGGGTGTTATTTGGGTTGAGTGAAATGAATGGTAGAGGGAGATAAAAAAGGTTATTCACAGGACATGACCTTTATTATCAAAACTCTCATTTTTGTGGGATTTTCAGTTTTACACCTTCAATTCACTTATGTCACCTTTTTTTTTCTTAGCTCAACATTTTTCTTCTCTTTTTCTTTTCCTTTCATTTATTTCCTTTTCAACCCCCTTTTTCTCCTTTTTTCTTGGATTTTCTCTTCTTTTTCATTCAAAATTTGAATTCAAAAACATTCATCCCTTTTTTGATTTCCTCACCACATTTCCCTTCCATCATGAGTAAAAATAGTCAGTCCCAGAAAAATCAAGGTGTGCATGTAAAACTCAGGAAAAATTTAAACTT